CTATATCAATTGATTTAAGATACCCATAGTCTCTAAGCAAAGATTAATGAAAACGTACATATGACGTTATATTACGCAATTACAAGACTAACGCAGGAGACTAGAAGGACGGGAACTAATAATACATATAGATATATGTATAATTCAAATCGATGTTGCTTTTGCTTTCCAGAACTAGACGTCATATCAGGAATAACTAAAATAACGGAATCGGCTAAAACTGAAGGGATCGAGCTAAGTTTCAGCATCGAAAAGACATTAAAACTATTATTTGTAATTGAGAACCGCATACAGATTGTCAGGAAACACAATATGAAAAGACAGGATTTAAAAAAGGAACAGAAGGCTGATCATTTGCTCGACTTGTTAGTTTGACTTATTACTAGCAGGAATTTTGTTCTTTGGATATTAATCGTTCCTGCTCTTTCGCAGAACTCTGACTCACTTGGAATTTTCAAAAGCTTTAGTGGTCTGAGGACCCTGAAGGAACGTAGCATATGTAGATCGACTTCCACGACTTTGTTTCGACGAACACGGTCATCAACCTAATCCAAGGATTACTCTAGAATCTATCTGACCAACGAGTATGGCGATCGGTGTATTTCCTTAATTCTTATAACTGGGAAAACTTGTTTTCGAACTACGTTGCCAAAATATTAAAATTTTCCGAAAGATTGCATAATAACAACATTATCGCTATCAAAACTACGCTTTTGATAAGACAACGTTTATATAACAATTATTAATAAAATGTATAAAAGCATATATACGTAATAATCAATTTATTACTGTATTAAATTTTTAGAAAAAAATGAAATCACTTTTTTATCATGTAGAAAATTTTGCTATATTACACATAAACTACTAATTATGTCAGAAAGTGTTTCATTTAGCAATATTAGTCAAACTGATTCCTCTAATATCTTGTTTCCTCAGGATGTAATGGGAAAAAGATTTATTTTGCCACTCGTTTCAGCCAACAACAAATTGATTAATAGATGTTTGTTCTCTTGAATATTAATGCTTTGTCCTGTTACGTCCTATAGACGCCATGATTCTTTTCTTTCGAAAGAATCAGCACATCGCGACTATGAGACTCGAGTGGAGTCCTCTGATAACAGTCTGATAGAAATGAAAAGAGGGATCGGACAAGCTCCGCGAAAACTCGTAAACGCTAATCAACGCGAAAGGAATAACAATCTTAATATAGGCCCGAAAAAAGACAAGATTACAAAAAACATTATAAATGCATCAAAGTCACACAATAGTAAAAATCCAAGCTTGTCGTCTCAGACTGACCAACAATTTCATTTTAAAAAAACAGGTACCACGTCGCACTTAAAAAATCATAAAACGCATGGAATAACTTCCCACGATAGCTTATCTAAGATCGGACTCGCGACTAACAATGGTTACTCTGCATGCAAAACTAATTGTGCACGATAACCGTGCACCGTCTGTTTACCTAGCCATATTTTCCACGAGGATAACAAAATTTGTTATCCGTCTGAAGCAATCTTGCCTCTTTGAAGAAAAACATAAATCATTTCTTTTCTTCTCGAAACCTCCCTAACGCTTTAGATTAACAACGATATGACGTTATAAAAATCGTAAATCTCGCGTGACATTGCAATTAACTATTGCACCCAGATAAAGGGCATTACGCCCTTTTTTCAGAGTATAAATAGAGGTCCCGCGGAAGCGCAGAGTGTCAGTACGAAAATCAAACTAAGTCGATTCATGTCAGTGCGGTCAGTGAAAATCACGCGTCAATAAATCCGTTCACGCCAGTTCATGTATCCATATGCATCATATCATTATTGGGATCACTCAGTCATTGCCCATTGTGACTACCCTCCTGGCGACCTCGCGTGAACGACGGGCCTCCTCGTCATCATTAACGAATACTGAGATTTTGTGGACCAAGCAGCTAAACAGTAAGTCCCATCTGTCATTCCATTCACTCATCCACACATCTCCCCGTATAAGTACACACATAAATACACATTTATATTGTATGTATATATATTTATATATATATATATATATATGTACATATAAATATATGCATGTACATATGCGCTTAACGGACACATACATATATTTAATTCTTCGGTTATAATGTGCGTCCTTAAAAAAAAAAAACACAGGAACGAACCTCTTATGTCAAGAGAAGTAGGCGGAGCCGTCCATCTAGCTAAAGCGTGCCGCCACCATTACCTGACGACTGACGACCATTACCTAGAAATTTCGTACTCGCCAGTCTCAGAACAATCACAATCGGTAGACTTGACCTCTCCCCCTGTCAACAATCCCGCTATCTAGGAAATCCCAAATTAATTCCCTCCTCCTCTCGAAGATTGCCTCCTCTTCCTCTTCTCGAAGAGGGATTCTCATCCCCTCCTCCTTTAAATCACTCCCCTAAGCAGATCCCGTGCCGATCGACTGAGATCGGCTTATTTGACTTTACTCCTCTCTCTCCAAGGGAATAGACTGGTGACTGTCTATATTGTCAGAAATCTTATCCCTTACATCGTTCTTTGCAAGCACATCATCCCAATGTTCTTCTGCACCACCTTGTTTGTCTTCAATTCTCAATAATCTTATTTCCTCTTCTCTTATTCACTCTCTCTCTCTCTCTCTCTCTCTCTCTCTCTCTCTCTCTCTCTCTCTCTCTCTCATATACACACACACACACGCGCGCGCGCGCGCACATCAATTTATCTATATGTGTTTATATATTTTATATATATGTATATATGTATATACGTGGGTCGTTTGATAAGTTTGGTAAATTTCCATGAAATGGCGCTACAATCCATTTGATGACGCGACATCTCGAAAGATCCATTCTTCGAACCCCTTCAGGCCAAATTTCAACCAGAAAGGACACATAGTTCATGTTTGGTAGTCATTTGAAGCGAGTCATTGGCGCGCAAAAAAGTGCTCTTCCATCAAGACAACGCGCTGTGCCACAAGTCAACTATTGCAATGACAAAACTATGAATTGGGCTATGAATTGATTCTTCATCCACCCTATTCTCCGAATTTGACCCCGTGTGACCTTTTTCTGTTTCCAAACTTAAAAACTTGGCTCGGTGGGAAGAAATTCTCGTCAAATGAGGAAGTCATTGTCGCCGTCAATGAGTATTTTGCAGATTTTGAGACAGCCTTCAAATTTACCAAATTTATCAAACGACCCACGTATATATATATATATATATATATATAAAAATGTGTGTGTGTGTGTGTGTGTGTGTGTGTGTGTGTGTATGTGTGTATATATGTATGTACAGGGTGTCTGGAAATAATCGCCAAATATTTCATAGGCAGGTAGAGCGGACTAAACTGAGTCGAAAAATCCTCTACCATTTTATAAATTTCCCCAATAGTTAATTAGAGATATTAATCCTTAAAGATAGCCGAATACGTGCGCTCGCCCGGCCTACTACGAAATGTATATGCCTACCGATAGCTTAGCGCGCGGGCCTTGGGAGTTGGGGATTGGTTGGCAAGTGCCTCGCGCCGCGCATACTGCCGCAAGTCTTCATAACTCGGACGGCGCATACACTTCATAGTATATACTTCATAATAGTATTCGGCTATCTTTAAGGATTAATATCTCGTTAATTATTGGGGAAATTTACAAAATGGTAGAGGATTTTTCGACTCAGTTTAGTTCTACCTGCCCATGAAATATTTGGTGATTATTTCCAGATACCCTGTATATATATATATATATATATATATATAAATCTCTCCGAATAGTAAAATGCGATAAACACACACATCATTCACACCTCCACAACTACATTAAGCTAAATTAATCATTGTAATCGATTTTAATATAAACAAAGGTGTAACCAAAAAATTTAATAATGATATGCTTCTTTTATATATATAAATATATGTTCTATATAAACTAGTAATAATATTTCCTTAAATAAATAAGTTTATATTATAAACAAAGATTTCAATTTATTTTAAATTACCACTCGCATTTTTTTCCCGCTAATACCTGAGATCGTACAAGGTCCCAGGTCAAAACGATTAAGTTTCTTCACCCAAAAAATAGGACCGACGTTCGCACTGTTCGATCGGAACAGGAATATGATAGCATCCTTTCGGAACGTTGATCCATATTCCGAGACCGAAAAGATGCGTACGACTCACAGGTGCGCCTCTGCACGTACCTGTGACATTGAATCTAACTGTCCTTCCATTCTCCCTCCATTGTCTCCTTTCCAAACTTTTAAGGATTGGACGTAACAGTCCTATATTTGTATGAGTAATGTAAATATATGCAGGAGAATATAATAACGATTTTTGCTACAGATTTTAAATAGAAGCAATGCTAAGTTTAAACAGAAAAGTCATTTATTATTTTATGTATTATAAATATCATGATATTAATTTATAGGATAAACCAGTGTATCAATGAAAAGTAGGGTTGACGATTATTCGTTTAACCGGATATCCAATATAGAAATAAATCCAAAATAAAATATCCGATTGAAGAGAATTTTTCAGATCCAAATGTTTCCAATTATTTCCAATTATTAAATATTCGAACTGTTAATGATTAACTGTTCATTATTCGAATTTTGGATCTCTCAATATTTTTTTCTATGCAAGGTGTGTATATATGTTTGAGAGAGCAAAAGAGTCAGGACGCGAGAGAGAGAGAGAGAGAGAGAGAGAGAGAGAGAGAGAGAGAGAGAGAGAGATGAGTGTGAAGAAGAATGAGAAACAGTGAGACCGAGAAATAGAGAGAGCAAGAAAATAAAAGAGAAAAACTTTATATATTTTGGCTTAATATGTTAATATATATTAAATATACTTTTTTACATATTAATACAATTTTAATTTTAATTTAATATAAGTTTATATATATTAATATAATTTTAATTATCTAAACAAATCCTGTTTTTATTAGTATTAATAAAGTACAATTCTGAGAAATAAGGGGATGTTGTTTTAAAAAACCTATATCAGTGACATTCCTCTAGTGAAATCTGTAATTTAATTAGAAACAAGATTTACGAAATAATGGATTCGAAAGATTGGGCCTGGACGGATTCGAATATTCGTATCCGGATTCGCAGAGTATTGTATTTCAATATTCGGATATAAGATCTGGATAATATTATTATCCGAATATCCGGATATCTGGATATCTACAGATCCAGGCGAAATCGTCAACTCTAATGAAAAGAATTCAATCTTGAGAAATCTTTTTTCTCCAAGAACATATAAAAAAATTGAAAATTATTAGTAGAAAATTACTGGTAGAAAGGAATTAAGGATAGAAAAAGGAAAAACAGAAGTGGACAAAGAAAGAGATTTTACTGACAAAAATAAACATTCGACTCTCACCCAGTCACTACGACGAAAAAGTCCATCATGTTCCAGATGTTGCGCAGGTATGAGCCGCGGTGGAGAACAAGGCCGAGGGCAATAATTTTGAAACTCGCCTCGACGCAGAAGATCGCGAGGAAGTACATCTCCGAGGACTCGAGCGACTGTGCAAATACGGTCTTGTCCTTTCTCGGCAGGTGCTCCTCGAGAGCAAGGACCACGCAATTGGCAATGATGGTGAACAGGACGGCGTACTCGAAGAGCGGCCATTCAATGATATCACGTACCTTCGACCGTATCCAATTATCTTCCGAAAGAATAAATAATGATGTGGTACCCTTGCCATCTCTCTTGCTTCTCCCTCCACCTTGATCTCGGCCTGGCGCCATGTTCACCAAATGCCTGAAAACCGATGTTCTAAAAAACTCCGAAAAAGAGAAAAAGAGATTTTCAAGAGTGAATTATAATACAATAAAGTTTACAAAATAAAATAAAAAATTTTAAAAGTAACATATTGTAAGACCAGTTCCTTCTCGATCAGAGTATCGATTATGCAACTTTTCTCTAGAGTGAAAAGTGAAAATTTTTACATATGTATCTATGAACATATACACACATGCACACAAAAAAAAATTTCACTTTTCACATTTCCGCCTTAAAGAAAAAGTTATATGATCAATATCCTGAACTATATATTATGCCTTGATATATTTCGTCCAGATGGATCTGAATATAGAACTATATATAACTATATAACTATATAGTCGTGTCCAGATAGCAGAGTTCAAAAAATACCGCCAAAACTAAAAGGTAGTGATGCGCGCCGTGTTTCCTCCTCGTTTGAATTCAAAATGTTAGCAATCGTCAAGACCATTGAAAGGTTTCACATCCTTTATGGAGTAGATTTCATTGATTGCAACACGGTGCATACAGTCAATAAAGCAAACATCAACCCATGCATTGCCAGATGGATACTTATGATGTAAAGTTATAGACTCCGGCTAATTTATCGAAGAGATGAAAAAATAACTCAAGTCGACGCATTAAGCCGCATAGTCGCGTCTGTAGACGTCCTACCGCTGGAAAAGGAATTGCAGTACAGGCAACTGGTCAACCCGACTATTCAGGCACTAGTAGAATACTTCGAAAATAAAAATGCAATAGTTCGCTCTAATCGACGGTCTAATCTATCCTAAATACAAAAATTCACTCAAGTTTATTATCTGAGTTCGCTAGAATCCTTAGCGTTTATCATGATTCTTGTGCGTCCTGTGGAATCGAAAAAACGATGCAGAGTATCACCAGCAATTATTGGTTTCCGTCATTGAGTAAAAAAGTACAAGATTATATAGGTAACTGTACGTCACGTGTCTGGCCTGTATATATGGCCAAAACGTCAACCGAGACGTCAACATATAAATTATTGGCATCGAAGACTCCCATTTGGCCGTACTCTGCTTAAAAAATTTTGGTAAAAAACCGGTAAAAATTTATAGAAATCTGATAGAAATCCTATATAATTTTTATCAGAATCTATCGTATTTATCGGACATTAAAATCAGACAGATGGAAAAGTTATAAATTTCTATCGTTTTTACAATATATCTTATATTAAATAAATAGATAGAATATCGGAGATAAGTTTCACAAGCTTCTCTATATGATCTTATCACATTATCTGATTTAATAAGAAACAACGAAAAAATGTTTATATGAACAATACAATTTAATTTTAATCTTAATATGCTCTTATATATTTGAATAAGACAGATATTATAGAAAAATTATCATACTCAATCGTTGACAATATAATATGTCACTTAGATCACTGCATTATCTAATTTAATAAGAAATAAACGAAAAAATGTTTATATGAACTTATATAATTTAATCCAAAAATGTCCCTATATATTTGAATAAAATAGATGTTATAGAAAAATTATTGTAGCCTATCGTTGGCAATATAATATGACATTTTTCAGATCATTGAACAATTATTTTGCAGATTTCAGCATACATAATAAAGCTGTACAGTTAATATATCGTTTTAATTATCTTATCTTATTTAAACGATAGAATAAGTAACTGTAGACACAAGCTTCTTTGTCACATTATTTGATTTAACATAAAATAAGTAACGGGATGATTTATGCAAATCTAATAATTTAATTCGAAAATGTTCCTGTATGTTTAAATAGGTAGATGTTATAAAAAAATTCTTCCACCATTGTTATATAATTAATTATTCATTTAAGTCATTAAGTAATTTATTATTTAATAACCTAAATGTCACATTATGTTGCCAACTATAGAATATGATAATTTTTTCATAAAATCTATCTTATTCTAACATATAGGGACTTCTAGATTATATAGTTTCTTATAAACATTATATCATTTTTATTATATAGCTTAAATATCGTTTTTAATCGTAAATTTCAGATAACTCGTTTAAAGTACGTGATACATATTTTCTTTATTTCTGTATCGTTTTTATTATACAACTTAAATGTCGGTTTTAATCAATTATTTTAGTCGTGTTAATTGAAAATTAATAATATTCTATTATATCTTTAATCGTAAATTTCAGATTCTAAAATTTAAGATTAAATTTCAGATTCTAAAATTTACAAAGCAAAAACACGAAAGAATATTATTAATTTTGATAGAATATGATCAGATAAAAATTGATTGAAAACGATATCTGAGCTGAAAATGATACAGAAGTATAAAAACTCTCAAATATTCTAATAAATAATTTGAAATTTACAATTCAAAAACAAGATAAGATGTTATTAATTATTAATTTTCATAAAATGTGACCAGATAAAAATTGTTTAAAATTGGTTAAAACGATAATTAAGCTATAGGATGAAAATGATACAAAAATATAGAAAATTTATATCAGGCAAGTAATCTAAAATTTAAGATTAAAAATGATACTTAAGGTATATGATAAACGTGATACAATGTTTATAAGAATCTATGTAACTTAATTTAGAAATGTCTCTATAATCACATTGTCACATGCTAAAGTTCAGACAAGCGTGCGATTACAGCTCAGCGTTAGAATGCTAGACTCACTCCGTAAGTCTCAGGTTCGAATACCGTCGGTTCCAAATGCGTTTTCAAAAATTGTAAATTTCCGATGCATAATTGTAATTAATAAATTGCATGTGAAAATATAAATGAATTCTACAAAAGAATAATAGAAATTAATAACTGTATTTTTATAAAAAGCTTTTTTTTAAAAATAATATGAAATTTACGATTAAATACAATATTATTAATTATGATAAAACATAACCAGAAATTGATTAAAAACGATATCTAAGCCGTGTGACAAAAACGATAAAGAAATATAAAAAATCTATCAAATATATCAGGTAAATAACTTGAAATTTACGAACCAAAAACATAATAGAATATTATTGATTTTGATAAAATTGATTAAATAGAAATTGATTAAATACGATATATTGGATCATTTAAAAAGTATCCGCGATTTTTTGTCACTAGATGGTGTTGATGGTCATATATCGGGCAACACTAATCCGATTGTGTCAAACGAACACGCGTCTAAAAGATGACATTTTAGGTTACATTTTTTGTAATTTGTTTGGTAATTCATCAATCGTGTCAAAAGTTATATTAGTTTGAAAATGAGTAAAATTTCTGAAGAAATACGCTATGTGATGCTTTTTTACTACAAAAAAGGCAAAAACGCAGCACAAACATGCAGAAAAATTTGTGAAGTTTACGGTGCGGATGTTGTAAGTGAACGCAGGACGCAAGAGTGATTTGTCCGATTTCGTTCTAGAAATTTTGATGTCAAAGATCGACCTTGCTCTGGCCAGTCACTGAAAAAGTCGATGAAATTTTGCAATTGGTCGAGCAAGACCGATATGTAAACTGTCAGGAGATAGCCAATGCACTAAGAATCAACCAGGTGACAGTTTGAAATCATTTGAAAAAGGCTGGCTACTACGTAAAGAAACCCAATGTTTGGGTGCCATGAATTAATGCAAAGAAATTTGATTGATCGAATTTTCATCAGCGAAACACTACTAACGTAGCAACGAAATCGACCCATTTCTGAAGCAAACACGGGCGATGAAAAATGGATAAAATACAAGAATATCGTTCGTAAAAGATCATGAGGTAAGCGCGGCGAACCACCACGACTTCAAAGCCTGAATTGATGGCAAATAAGATGATGCTGTGTGTATGGTGGGATTGGAAGGGAGTCGTCCATCATGAGGTGTTACCACATGGCCTAACGATTAATTCAGAGCTCTACTGTTCCCAACTAGATAGATTACAAGAAGCGATTAAGGAAAAACGACCAGAATTGATAAACAGAAAAGGTGTTATCTTCCATCATGACAACGCCAGACCACACACATCTTTGATGACGCGCCAAAAATTGAGGGAGCTTGGATACATCCACCGTATAGCCTACCATTTTATTTCAATCTCTGCAGAACTTTCTTGATGGAAAAACATTGGCTGACAAAAGAGCCGAAAATTATTTGAAAAAATTTTTCGCCGATAAACCACAGAAGTTCTACGGATGGAATTATGAAATTACCTGAAAAATGGCAAAAGGTTATAGATAATAATGGCCAATATATACTTGATTAAAATTGATTTTCAATAAAGAAAAATTTCATTCAAAAATTGAACAAAAAACCGCAGATACTTTTTAAATGATAAACCCAATATAAACTATATGACAAAAAGGATAGGGAAAATCTATCAAATATTTCAGATAAATAATTTGAAATTTACAAATCAAAAACATGATTTAATCAGCTAGAGCTTTTCCTGTTTTGATTCTATCGGATTTAAGCAGGGTATGTTGATCATTTCGGGCCGCTGATAAAATCTTATACGAGATTTAAATATATTCTAATCGTCATAGATGCTTTGACGATTTACCTGGCTGTTTCCAGTCAAAACTACTGGTTCAGGAGAAATGATTGAATATTTATTTACGATTTTCGATATATTTGGCAATCCTTCCGAGTTTGTGTCCGACCGTGCAATTGCACTTCGTTCAAATTTGCCAAATCATCGATAAATGCGATATAAAACATCGTTGGTAACTATAGTCCAATGGTTGAACAGATTAAGAGGAAGTGGCTAAATTGTCGGTACTTTGCAGAATGATATAAATCTCTGAATTTACTGAACGAAATCAAAAATTCTTTTACAGGATTAAAATAGATGCAAAATTTGGTGATGCTGCAATAGACTCTATATAAAATCGAAAAAAAGTTAAAAACTTACATTTTTTCAATTCGTAGAACTGTCACCTGACGTAGATGTTTCCCTAATACAAAAAGTTTTTTATACCTCGTATTGACAGTGCAGCATTAAGTATATTACATGCACAAACAATACTGATGAAACTAAGATTAAACTTTATGAAACTAAGATTAAACTTTTAAAAAGAATGATTTATATCGATCTGCAAATGACATGTATGATACGAATACGCTGAGCGAAGACTCAGAATGGTAAACAAAACAACAATTGTGTCTAGCAGTAAGTGGTCGATCTTGCAAGAGAGGACGTTGCAATATGTTAAATAAAGACAGATAAATGTATTTGAATGAGACACAACGACACATAATAAATATAAGAAATGAATGAAACTGACTCATCTATTATCGAATTTGGAATTAAAATCTGTACTACTCGACCTCGGTTAAGTTTGGCCGTCGCTCCAACATCTCCTTAATCTTCTTAAAATCGTCATTCTGCAAAATTTCGGAGGTTCAAGAATGTTAATCCGATGAAATTCAGTACGTAATTAACAATATCTATCATACGTTATTACCCTTCTAAATTATTTTTGAGATGCGAAAAAAAGAATCACCCGGATTTTCACTAAACGACTTTCCTGTCCGATCTTGCCAAGGAAATTTTAATCGGTTCAGATGACTTAATGTCTCGTAAGTGCGAGATACGACAATTGAAGCGTCAAACAAATTCCGTGCTTATAATAAAATTACGATAAGCGCTATAAATTGCCCAGATATAAGCAGGGAGACTTGTGTTGAAAGATGATTCAGCGATAAAGCCAGGAAAAAAATTAAAGTTGTCCTATAAAGGTCCTTATTTGATCGCTAAGATTCTGAATAAGAATTAACAAATATGTCATTTGAGACTCATGTTAAACCTCATAGGTTTAACATCAGAAACTATACTACTACCAGACAATTTGATCTTGTCGCCGGACTGAATCAAGTTTTGAATTAAACCGATGATTTCTTGATGCTATTTGCGACTGCACTTGTATATTTTCTTAGTAAGTTCATAAGCGTTTTTTAAAGTAATGTAGCATAGATTTTAGTCTGCGTTATATCTGCAAGGTTTAGTCAAAAATCTTCAAGAATCTCTTTTTTTTGTTTACTATAAAATCTAAATCAAATGCTATAAAAGTTTTTATTTTACCAACAATACTATTTGACTGAATCGTCTTTGTACATTTTGTACTGAATTGTATGCGATATTGCTATCTGTGTATTACTGTTAATGCACATATGTGATCAAAACGAACCTTATTTTAGTTTAAATTGTAATGATCATAATTATGTTCGGGATGAACAAGAAGCAGGATGGCTTAATAAGATCAAATCCTTCTCAATCAGAGTTATATTCTTTTGTTACTTTCATTGACGATACTCTAATAAAAAATGATAATCGACATCAAATCGACATCGATTCGACATCGATTTCATTGTCATTTTTCACTGGGACTGCACCTTACCCGTTATTACGCGTTGCGTACCATAATTAGCTTTCCTGAGCATATGGAAATAACTGCGCGGTTTGCTGTCCGGTGTATCACATGCGTCATTGGTCGCTTGAGGCGCTACCAGTGAGGCGTGATTTCTACGCGGGCATTCTATGACAAGCAGCGAAAAAGGCTGCTTATATCCGAGAGATAAAAAAGTAATTTATCCTAGACATTGGCGGTTCATTTAAATTTCCTGTCCACGCCTTACAATATATATTATTTAAACATTACAAAAAATTTGATAATATTAATCAAATCTAAATAATAGTTATTAAAACTTCGATAAAATAATTTTAATCAGTGTTCGATTAATATAATCAAAATTAACTAAACGCTAATTTATAAATATTATCTTTTCTAATTATTACCAAACGATTGGTTATTATTATGTTTACTAAATATTTAGTAATTTATTAATATTTACTAAATATTGCACCAACACAAAATAACTTTGTAGCTATTACCAATCTTTTTCCAATGTTTTTTAATTGCTTTATCTGATAGTAGAGAAGAGTAGGCATGAAAGAACCATTTTTTTCAAAATACAAAAAATATTTCGGTGTTAAACAAATATAATTGCTTTCTTACTTAAGTGTATCCTTATTTATCTATAAGATCCATTTAACAGAAAAATAATATTTAATTATTAATAGAGATTTAATCACCATTAAACAAGAAATTCAGCTCTTTTAAAACAACACGATATTGAAAAAGCCATTACTTGTTTTGTCAAATATTAAATTATATAATTTTAATAAATAAAAAATCAAAATATCGTTCTTTAACAAATATTATTTTTTTAGAAAATTAATAAATGTATGAAAAATAGGAAATATAATATTTCTAAAAACATTTATTACAAAAGAAATGAAAATTTTCCTTAGCCACATGAAAGTCAATCAAAGTACAATTTGCATTGATATCAGTTTTCATTACGCAATACGGTATTTCAAACAAATATTAACGTTCTAAAATTGCTTGAAAAAGTTTTAAAATTGTACTGAAAAAGTAGAAAATTAATTGAAAATATCGAAAAGAACATCTCTGGAAATGCAATGAAGGAGTCAGGCAAAGCAATAATGGAACTGTTTTTTTCATAGCTCTCAATACTTTTTCATGATATTATATGTAAAAAATATAATCACAGAATATCTGATAAATTAAAATAAATAAAGAATTTGTAATTACATTTTTAGTTACGATAATGTATATAATATTCGATAAAAAATACTTTTTCTAAAAATTAATCGCAAATAAATAAAAAAAACTTGGAAATTTAACTCAAGAACGTACTTTGTGTAACAATAATTTTGCAGTTTTCATTATGGCAACGTTATTTTGACGATGACTATCAAATATTTATAGACGACGTAGTTTTAGTACTGCTATTAAATGGAAATATTTTAAAATTTTTGACTATATTCAATTAGTTAAAATACAAAATGGTTCTTTCAAAGCATGTCTTTTTCATGTCCACTTTCCCCTACTTATCGTTTTAGATATGTTTCTAATGATTCACATTTGTGCATCATAATTTTTCATTTTCGAGATTTTGAAATATTTTTCAAGTTTTCATCAAATCTTAAACCCGACCAAAACTGTCGAAATAAATTATTCTCTGAAAAACTTTCAAGCGACAAGCGGTGAAGAGATTGTTCAGAAGAGAAACTGTACAATTGCAAAGATACAAATGATTGATTCTTCGGTGATTAAAGCTGTCACGGACTGTAGACGAACGATATTTTATATTAAGAATAACAAAGACAAAGGCAATAATTAATAATTGTCATCTTACCTTCTCTCCGAAGCTAGTTCAATCACCGAGACTATTCCTCAATTCGGCCAACCTCGACCTTCTTCCGTAATACTGACTCGCATATTCAGGATCCCTTTGTGCCTCTTGCGCTGCTGCCAACGTGGAAACGATAGAGGGATAAAAGAGGTCAGTAACTGGTTGCACATCGGAGCAATCTCTCGATCAGGATTATTCGCATGACATACGTCAAATAATGACACTATAAACCGTACCATGATTTCTAAGAAACAATCATCTACAGATCAATTCTACCTCAGCTGAACATTATTTAACAATGCTTTAGTAGGCTTAGGTAAATGAAAACGCGATCTGAAACTTATCAGTAAACTAGCTATGATTTATAAATAAATTGTTAAATTCGAAACAGATCAAACTTATCTACATTTGTATAATTTTTGCTAATTATTATAAATTATTTTAAAATATTTAATAATCTGACAAGCTTACTAAAGTACAACAATTACAAAGTGTTTAACTTGGTACAAGAGTTAGCAGAATAAATAAAAGAGTGTCAATAAATAGTATGTGACATAATAATGTTTTAATAATTAAATAATTAAATCGATATTTTGACTAGAAAATTCTTAAAAGAAATAATGACAACGCTTTATTATAAATCTCTTTAATATGAATTAAAAATATTAAAAATCGCTTTCACCTATTTATAGCTAAATTCATCTAATTATTAATCTGTATTAAACAAATTTTAAAATTAGATGATCAAATTTAACTGATATGCGATATAAAAACATAACTATAAATTTAGCATATATATTTTTATACTACTCACTAAACGTTAAAAATATTTAAAATATTTTCTTAATTTAATGAAACTTTAATGTATTTTAATAAAACATATAAACTTTTTTTTATAAGATGCACAACGTATTCACGAATCACTAAAAATTCACAAAGTGTGAATTATTTAGACGAGTACACCTCATAGCAGCTCAGTGAGATGAAATTGCTAGTTAATGATGATAGACGAAGGTATAAATGTGGCGACTCCAACTTCAATTAAGTACATTAACCGAGACATTTTGTGACAGATGTCCCATATGCATCCCGATGACTCTTCTCGTGCGAGAGAGAAAGAGAAAGATAGAAGGGGAGTGAGTGACAATCAAGGCACATGGTAATGCAATAATTCATGGTAAGAATTTCCTATCGTTTCATCGCTCTCGTATAATGCGTCAATCAATACACACAATCATCGAAATTATCGTGTTTGTAAAATCACATTCAATCTGGACAGAGTGAGGATATTGATTTATATTATCTATTTGTGATAACGTTCTCTTTTCTTATAGAAACGATACATGTGACTCTAATTGTGAATACTTCACTTTAAAATAGATCTGATTAATGTTTAAACTTGGTTTCGACTAACATTTTATTTAAAATAAGATATCTTTTAAGAAAACACTTTTAGTCATAATTAGAGCTTAGTTGATGTATATTTTTTAGTTTTGTCAGAGAAATTATTTTTTTCAATTTATTAATTAATTCTCATTTAGTAGAAAAAACAGATATATAACGTCCTTAACAAATAACAAAAAACAAATTAAATCTGGACTAATGAGAATCAGCGCGAACAGAGCTGCGCAATAAAATTTTTACAAATAAATTTGTTACTCCATACAAAATGTTGATATCATCTTTATTTGAAATATATATCGTCCTGTTAGAAAAACTTCAGATCTTTAAAATTTTTCAGATATGTTTACTATAATATTTCACACAGAGTTTAAAAACAAAAAAAATTTTTTAAATAATAATAATAGAACTTTAATTGGTAAGAAACTCGAACTCAAGTCGAGATCATTTTCTAATCAGTTATATAGTGACTGATTCAGCTAACTTCACAGATTCACTCTTATTCGAAAAAAATCTTAATGAATTTGCTGAATTAGCTGAATTTGCACAATGTAAGGAAGCGTCTATTCTCGATCGCTCGCTGCATTTGGGATGTTCCACGAAAACCTTTGAAGAATGCTCGAGATTGTTTCAAAAATGATCGTTTCAAATCGATATTTGTTCCATTCTTTTTCTGATAAATACAATTCTAAAATATCGAGTTAAAATAAATTTTTCGTAAAAAATTTATTTAGTACATATAAAAATTTAATTTGATATAATAAAAATCAAATAATACTTCAATATCATAATCAAAAATATTGATTGAATTGAATTAATACATTGAAATGATTGAAAACTATTTCCGATGAATTGCAGTGCCAACTGTATTAATTAAATTTATTCATTTTAATTTATTGATTTTAAGTCTCGGAAAGCTATTACAGTACATATAATTTATATAAAAATTACATGTATCTCTTTTTTACATTTAGGACCATACATTTAGGATTAAATTGGATACGATGAAATAAGCATAAAATATTTAAAAAATAGACATAACATGCCGCAATTGTTGCTTGTATGCTTGCCTGTGTTTCAGCCTAATGTCATTGAATTACTGAAAACGACAGAAATAATTGATTCAGTTGTTCTGTAACGATGAATCAATACTACTCTCGAAAATAAATCGCCAACTTGTCCGTGTATCCGTTTTATAAAGACACACTCCGTGAAGTAGCGCAATATACACGATTAGTCGGATTTAAGTTGATTAATAAACCAGCAAAATACATTATTCTCTATTTTGTTCAAAAGATTATGATAGATCGATGTTATTACTTTTTCCACAACTACTTTGCCCAATCTCTAATCATACAGAATTTATATAATAAATAATACTATTGTTTTATTTGTAATCTTCATTTTCTCAACAGCTTCTGTAGCGAATCTTTAACATCAAAATAAAATTTAAATCTATTTCTTTCCTACATAATTTCATATATTAATTCGTAAAATATATTTTTTATAGACACACAATATAATTGATATTCAAATCTATCACCAAAATTTGATATTATTATATTTATCGAAATCTAATATTTGCAATGCAAATATTAGATTTCGATACAACATCCTCGGACGATGTTCGCGACCGTCATAATCGTAAAACAGACACAGAAGTGGTCCTGCACTTGCAAGATGCGAATTGCCGCATGCTTGCGAAGATTAATCGCGATTTATGCAACAACGTTGTTGCAGCGTGTCGCTACTGGAGTGTAATTTTTTGCTGATTAGTAAATAACGGTGGAACGCGAGTCGTGCCAAATGTTCGTGTTACCGGACGCCGCTGTTTTTCATCAATAGTAATTAATACATACCGAGCGGAAATTCGATGGAATTTTTTCCTCCATTTATCTGTCGGTTACTTCGTAAATAATATCAGTTGTGAATATTTCGGGACAGAAGAGAAGCCACAACGTATAAAGAATGTAGATACAAAAATCACTTATACAAAAAACGTTACCAAATTTAGCTAACAATAAAAAAAATTACGAAATACGAATTTAGAAAGTCTCTAATCTCTATAGAATTGAAATTATTATTTTATTTAATAATAATTAATAACGTGTTTATTATTTATATATATATATATATATATATATATATATAGAGAGAGAGAGAGAGAGAGAGAGAGAGAATTTTGAAAAATTTTTCCACTTCTCAAAATAAAAAAATATGAAAATACATTACTGCAATTTTTAACTATATATAGATTGATGAAAGTGGCGTGGTATCATTTAACGTAAAAACAGACATTAAACATACTCTGAAGAAATTGTTTCAGACTATTTCAAAATAACATCCAGAATAAGAGAAATGATGGAAAGCTTAACTTTTAACTATTTTTATCCATGAAAAAGAAAAAAACAAGATTTGTAACTACAAAAAAGAGGCTTATTTGGCGAAATGATGAGTTCGAGCGGTGCCAGAATTCTGAGAGTTAACATCGTGTGTCTGAAAAAAGAATACTGCTATAAGAAATCAGAAGAGCAACTTGAATAAAAACTATTTTAATCGAACAAAGATTGCTTGGTGCAATAAAATTCGCAAAAAGAGGAAAGTCCTGATTCTTTCCAATTGATGTAACGAGCATGAGCTACAAACGTAACCAATTGTATATCTTAAGCATGAAAAAAAGAGTATTTATTCTCCTGGAATATACCTGGAGCAAGATAAATTATTCTCAAAGAGTTTCGAGAGTTTATGGAAGAATATACTAATTCTATCTTGATCCTAGCTCGTCGAGGACTGCGCAGAGTAAGAGATTCTCGATTTGTTATATTATTTATTGGTAATCCGCTTCATTAATTATGTACATTTCTAATGAGAGGCGAATATCTTTAGCGAACGTCGGTACGATAATATGAATTTATACATAAAAGACAGAACGAACTAAACGTCAAAATAAATAGTAGATCGAATGAGAAATATGATATTCTTTGCGTTGCAATTTAATTACAGTTGTAGACAAAAGTATTTAATAACTTTTTTATATGTATAGAGAACTTTAAATATTATGACTTACATTAATAATTTTCTTATACATAGCTAAAGAGGGCTTTAAATATTAACTTTCAGTAGCCACATCTCAAAAAAGTCCCTATTTACCCACATTTGTATCTGCAACCCAGCGTTTTCTTTTACTTGTATCTCAGATTGTAATGCATCGATTTTAACTAATTTTTTTTAATCTATTGTTTGAAGACTGAAAAAAAATTTTTTAATTAGAAAGTCTAAAATGTCGTAGTACAAAAGATATTTTTGAATAAGTGAAAGGGATCGGAAAAAACGCCTGAATTATGAAAATCGGACGCTAATCCTTTGTGGTACTGAAGGTTAAATATAAACTTACATTTACGCGCGCGATAAATTAATGAGATAAATAATGTTGCAATCCATTTCCTAAATCACTGATACAATCTTATTGTTGTCCAATTATTCATTATGTATATATAATTCTATTTATTTAAATGTTCGCAATTAAAAAAATTACGATTAAACTAAATCAACTTTATCAAAGAACTTGATATTGACTATAGAAAATATGGCAGATTGAAAATGTCAAACTTTGAATCAGGTGTACAATATTTATATATTGTCCGGAAAGTTCGGGCCGATTTTGAAGAAAAATTGAAATATAGAAGATTTAAATTTTCATTTTTAATTTCATTTA